TCGCTTTCAAACTGCTATTACTGCGCTTGGGTTTCCTCATTGTACTCAGGACTCTACTTTATTTCTTTTCCACACCTCTGTTGAATTCGTTGCCTTATTACTATATGTGGATGATATGATCATCACTGGCTCTGACTCTTATACGATCTCTAAAGTCAAGCAGCATCTTTTTCGCACCTTTGAAATGAAGGACTTGGGCCCCTTGCGGCATTTTCTTGGTATTAAGGTTGCTTCATCTCCCAAGGGCTACTTTCTATCTCAAGCCAAATATGCCAATGAGATTATTCATCGTGCCAGTCTTACTGACACTAAGTTTTCTGATACCCCTATTGAGCTTAATGTGAAGCTCACCACTACTGATGGTGTTCTTCAAGATGATCTTACTTTATATCGAGAGCTCGTGGGTTGCTTAGTCTATCTGATGGTTACTTGCCCTGATTTTGCCTATGTTGTTCGTATGGTTAGTCAATTCATTTCTGTTCCTCGTTCACCACATTGGGCTACTTTGGTTTGGATTCTTCGCTATCTAGGGGTACTATATTTCAAGGTTTACTGTTGTCTTCTACTTTCTCTTTGGACTTGGTGGCTTATGTTGGTTTTGATTGAGCTGGTGATGTCACTGATCGCAAGTCCACTTTTGGCTTCTGCATGTTTCTTGGAAAAGTAAGAAACAGACTGTTGTTGCGCGTTCCACTGCCGAGGCTGAGTACCGTGCTATGGCTCATGCTACTGCTGAAATTTTTTGGCTTCGTTGTCTCTTGACTGATCTTGGTGTCCTTTAATCTTCTCCAACCTCCATTTACTGTGACAACTGCAGTGCTATTCATATTGCCCATAAAACTGTCTTTCATGAGCGGATGAAGCACATTGAGATTGATTATCATTTTGTCCATCAGCATCTGTAGTCTGGCTCCATCTCATTTCCTTTCGTTTCTTCGCCATTACAACTTGGTGATTTCTTTACGAAAACTCACACCACTGTTCACTTTCAGTTTCTTCTTGGCAAACTCTCAGTGTTTTCTGCTAAACCACCTTGGTTTGAGCGAGGGTGTAAGAATATATGTTAATTATGGAAATATATTTTAGATTGATTGTGTGCTTATATAGATTGATTGTATAGGGCTATTATTTCCTATTTCAGCTTAGGTTTAGGTTTGCTATATATATCGGTTGTAATCTTTTTATTGAGCAATAGTTGAATATACAAGTTTATTCAGAAACTTACAGATCACACACCATGTTTAGGAAATTAGGCTACACCTGTAACCTACAAATGTTTTGTGTAAAATATGTTATGAATAGCAGAAGTCAAGTTTGGTGATGATTGTTATCTACTGGGTACTTGTAGAGAACCTAAAGCTTTTGCCTTTGGAATAACGTCAAGTTTCTTACCATGAATGTATGAGATTGTGAAGCATTGAGAGACATAGGAGGAGGGGTGGAGAGAAGTTGTGGGTTTGACATCATTTTCAATCCTACCTTCCCAAGGATTAATTGTGTTTGATATTTTTCTTTGCATTTACTTGTGGAGGAAAAATAATAATGGAAGGACCAAAGAAAATGCTGTTAGACAATTTGAAATTTGATTGACTTTACTAATTGCCATCTCTCTCTTGTATCTCTTATTCTAATGTTAAACATAGCTACAACACACACTGATATTGTTGTTTGAGCAAAGAAATTGGGGGTGGATGTCAAGGTGGTACACAATGCATCAGTGATGAATGGAGTTAGAGTTTGTGGTCTACAACTCTACCGTTATGGGGAGACAGTTTCCATACCATCTTTACAGAATCATGGAGGCCTGACAATTTTTATGAGAAGATTCAATGAAATCGCATGCTTGCATTACACACTCTATGCTTCTTAGGTAAAAATAATGTCTTTTTTAGTTACGGTGTTTATGCAAAAAAAAAATTTGGATCGGCATGGTGTTTTATGCAATGTCAACTTTAATCTTTCAATTATGGAAAATTTTATCTTCTTTTTTCTTGTAACCTCTAACAACATATTGTCACAGTCTTGGTTTTTCCGAACCAACTGTGTAGCCTTAGATGCTTGACACCCTCCTGATTTGCACCTAAGTAAGCCTTCTTGGAAGAGAACTAAAAAAGATTCACACACACTTGAGGACTTCTAGAGAGAGAAACAATTCTAGAGAGAGAAACTCTTGGAGAACACTTTCTTTGTATTCTTTTTTTTTTTTGAACCAATTTTCTTTGTATTCACTTGGATAGTTTGGACAAATGAGGCAAGGAACATTCTAGAGATACAAGGACGGAGAGGATTCTAGATCATTCCTTCATCTTCTCAAATATCCTATTCTAGAATATACAAGAATGATGTACAAGCTTCTAGAATTATGTATAAGGTTCTACCAATCTCTTGATTGTTCTAGAGAATTCTAGATTATTCTATTTAGCCTTAAATTTTATAGTCATTTTCTACGACTTTTGGCTGGACGTGACAATATGTTAATGTTACATGTTATCGTTGCATTGCTTCCCCTCCTACCTTCAAAAATATTATGCTAAATGTTAATTATCATGTTAGTGAAGGTTCTTGCTACTGCAACTAGACTTGTCAATGTGTCTTTCTCTAATCTTCTTACATTATTGTCTAGCACCAAATCCATTTTATTTTAGATGCCATCAATGGTTGATGAATGTTCACCATTCCCTCCTTGTGCTTTTCCATTTTTGTATTAAATTTTCTGAATGCTTAATGAACTTGATATATAGATAAAAAAAAACCTAGATTAAAAAAATAAATAATAATACGGGATAACATGCTCAATAAGGCTATATGAGAACCCATTAACTGAAATGTTTTGGACAATTAGATTTCTCATTTTTATTTTTTTGTGGCCATGAAATTTTAAAACCCACATCTTATTGTTGAAGGACACAACTTGTCGAACAAATGCGTGGAGAATCTGGTAAATCCTTTTTTTTTTTTTTTTTACTTTTATTCTTTTGACAATTTCTCTAAGGAGTGCACAGCATCTGCCATCCTTGTGCAGAGTTTAGGGTCTCTAGAGGTCAGCCTGAGTTACCACGATGAATTAGGTATAGGATTAGGTGTTGCAATGTACTGATGTGTTTTCTAAAGAAAAGAAAAGAAAGGAAAACCTAAAATAATTGAAAAAGGCAATTCCATTTCTCAACTTTGTGGATACACCACATTTTTAGCTTCTTTTTTTTTTCTTTTTCTTTTTCTTTTTTTGTGAAGATCCTATGAGGAAGCAAGTCTTTAGATTGTATCAATTTTGTTGAGATTCCCTATTGTCACATTTCTAGTGTTTTGTTGGTCCTTTGCCTTTTAATTTTGGTTCTTTAAATTTTACTATATTTAGTTTTTGAGTGTTTTCCTAAGTCAAGTGCAAAGGAAATGAATTTATTATACTATGTCATATTTGCAATTTTGCAGCATACAATGCAGACACGAAACATCTGTTTGGAAAGTTAAGGTTGGGGTTTTTTTGATGAAAATAGTTAAAAAAAAAGTAAAATAAACTTTTTAGCCCAATAAGACAAAACATCATATCTAACTCATATTCATTGCATTTTTTCTCTCACAAAAAATCAAAAAAGTCAAAAGATCATTCTTAAATAAGACTTTTTAATCCCAGATCAAAATAGTCAAAAAAAACTAAAAAGCCAAGTGACTTTCCAAACGGACACAAAATGTGTTGGTTTTGCCTGACTAGGAAGTGAAGATCAGATGGTGGTTGTAGGATCAATGAAGAAACTGCTCACAGTCGACTTTGGGGAACCTCTACATTGTCTTGTCATAGTAGGTGAAACTCATCCTGTGGAAGATGAAATGCTGGGTTTTTATACACTTGGGGAAGGCAAGTAGTAAAGGGGAAATTATTTTTCATTTTTGTCTAACAGGAATTAGCAACTTCATAAATTTATTGTTCTATTGTTTTCTGAGTAAAGATCCAAAAAAAAAAAAAAAAAAAACCTAAATTATTTTAACTTAGATTACTTCCCTTTAATATCTTTGACGTATTTTTAGTTCAGCCTAAACTTCTTAACATTGTTGTCTAGTATTTATTTTCTTGAGATAAGTCTCATTAAAATTCACCAAAGCGTAAGATTTTGATTTACTTGTCTATGTTAGACGAGGTTTTTGTTTCCTTTTGCTTTCATAAAGCTCAGAAATTTTATTTTATTTTTTGTGGATAGCAAGGTAGGATTGGTTGAGGGTAAATTCTGTTTACAAAAAATTTAAAAAGGGTAAACAAAAGCTTTGTTTTCAGATGTTGTAAAGAATTTATAAAATTTACTATATTTTCTATAAAATAAAATAAAACGTTTGTTACCTCCCACCTTCTCCAGCCACTACTATTTATAAAATTTACTAAATTTTCCATTAAAAATAAAAAGTTTGTAATCTCCCACCTTCTGTGCCCATCACCTGCTGCTCACCACTGTCACTAGCAACCCCACCTCCAGTAACTGTCACCAACAAAACAACCCCCACTTCTTGCAATTGGTAATCAGCTTCGTAAATATGCCGACACTCACTTTCGGCCACCATATTGAGTGTTTGGCAAAGGTTTTTTTTTAATTTTTTAGGCTAAAATTCACAAAAAAATAAAATAAGTTAAAATAGTCAATAAGACAAAATATTACATCAAATCCATAATCATTTTATATTTTCTCTCACAGACCTTACATCTAACCACAAAAAATTCACTATCTTCTCAAACACACAAATTTTAACCTACTAAAATAGCCAAAAACTAAAATAACCTACTAAAATGGCAACTTCCCTAACACTCACCATGCCAACAACTGCTTACTATCAAAACAAATTTTTTAAAACAAGTGAAATAAATGTTTTTTATTTTTATTTTTACTACAAATTTACATAAAATGTTTAATATAATTTTTTTGTAAATAACAAAATTATAAACTGTGAATGTTACCAAATGACATCATATAATGTATGTTGTACTATTGTTATCTAAGAAATTTAAAACACACATGTAATGAAAATGTCCACTGCTTTTAACTGATATATATCTCCAATAAAACTATGTACACATCAAGATACAAAAAATAGAAGAGAAGAGGTCAGTCCCTGTCCAAGTTAAAAATGGATCTTCTAGTGGACACTACCATTGTTTGTTGTCTGTCCTTTCAGAAACATCAGAATGCACTTCATATCATGAAAAACAGTGGATCTCAAACTCACTTGTTCAAGCGTGGTTCAGCTAGCTTAGTTCCAAAATTTGTATAATTGTGCACAAGCTCACATAATAGCATTTGGCCACTGTGAACTTTGTCCTCTAGATAGCAACCAACCACAATAAGTTAACATACACCAGGTCCTGCAACTGTCAACACAGTATGAGAACGTCCCACAAGGTGCCATTGCCAAAACATCTTACAAATTACCATTCATTTGTAACAAAACTTAGTACTGTACTAGAAGATGATCTTTACACTATTAAGTAGCTCAAAAACTCATTAGCTTAAATTAGAGGTGCCATTACCACATTTCCCCTTCAACCATGTCAACCTAACCTGATTGCTTTTAAGAGAAACAAAAGTCTCTCTTACATTGGAATCTTCAAAAAGGTCCAAAGCAGTAAAGTAGAGATGGCTGTCAATCCCTTCCATCTCTTCAATTTCGTCCAAGGCTTTTATGCAATTAGTTATTGCAAAGCTATCTTCCTGCTTAGGCATTGCAACTTCCCTCAACTGCGAAGCAGTAAGCATCTCTAACATGGCCTCTGCCATGGCCTCATTTATTTCGTGGTCCCTCTTGGTTTGTCCTGAAACAGAGCCCATCTCTGATCCACGTTTTCTCTTTCTCTCTGCTACATTCTTGCTTGGGTTTTGTGCTGAAAAAACATTTCCTTGCGCAAATTTTGAGGATGACGGAGTTTCAGCATGTGGGGTTCCACTTTCTAGATATGAATTTAACTTCGCAGGATCTGTCCCAGTAGACTTGTCCAACTCTTCAAAGTGACTCGATTGGGCATACTTTCCATCAGCTCCCGAGTCTGCAAATATTGTGCATAGCTGCTCATAGATGGGACACTCCTTGATCTTCGTTGTCTCAGGCTTAGTTTGAGCCTACCAACACAAATTTGTTAGAAAATCACGTGAATCCGATTTAACAAAGAATGAACTTAAAGGAGGAAAGAGATATACCCCAATGTCTTCCCACAGATCAAACCCAATGCAACAAGAATCATCTATAACAAAATCATTTTGATCAAAAGAAGACTTCACATTATGGTAACGTGTCCGCAAAACATCCAGATGCTTCCTCAATTGGTTGTTATTAAAGTTAAGATCAGTTTGTTTATTGAATTCATCACGCACATGGTTCCATGTTTTCTTGTCAAAGACATTGTTTGGTCTATTCCCCAGTTGAATCTGCTCAACAACCAGATCTGCAAATATCTTATCAAGGGATGCCGTCCATCTAGTCCTTAAGCGTTCTTGCTTAGGTTGGCGCTCACTAGCTTCACCATCCATCTACAAACCAAACCAAACCAAACACCACCAATTTAAAAAAAACAAAAAACAAAAAACAAAAAAACAAAAATAAAATCTGAAAATGAGAAAGAGGGCAAGAGGGCAAGATCACTAAGCTAAAAATTTCAAATGTATCCATATCAACAAAGGCAGCTGCACCAGGCAGAACCACCAACAAAGGATGGTCTTTGTAAAGAACCCGTGTTTCACGCAAACAAAGACAATCAGGGGCACCTCTATTACCAACTCCAGAGCAACAAGTACAGGAAAATTATTCACCTCTAAGCAAATAATTTTCAGGAGTTGTAGTTGGCATTAGCTGGAATGTCAAATATTCAAATCTCATATAAGTATTGAACATGTCCAATTAACTCACTGTCCACATCCCTTTTCTACCAGGGGAGATATCATTAAAATTCCTAAAACATGCAAAAGCAGTTGAGTATCACTGACTATATATGCCTTGTTTGGATCTTATACTCAAAAGATGTTCTTCTGTATTATTCTGTGGTCTATGGTTGAAAAAAATTTAATACTCCGCATCTCAAACCTGCTCTTTTCATTGGTTAGTTTTATATAAATTTCTCTCATTTTTGCAACATATGATTCTCAGACAGACCTACAACATACAAAAGAAATCAAATGCACCTTCAAGGATCTATGAAATATCATCACCCTGTTAAGAAATTGCCAAAACTAATCAACTAATACAAATTGCGATTACTTCTAATAACAACATTCACTGTAAAAAGATCACTGAACAATGTATGATAACAAAATGCTGATAATGATGTAATAAGATCAAAAAATGCACAATTCAGAGATTTTCTTCTACTATAAACCCTAAAAACGAAAAACGCTTAATTATTGACCATTACTATAAACACCTCACTGAAACAGATTGATTGAACAAACACATGAATCTATACATGTATACAAAACCATGCACGAGTATATCTATATATATAAAACTCACAAACCGAGGGCTAAAAGTGCGATATCAAATCGACTATACAGATACATACATGTATGTATATACATATATATGGGGTACCTGATCGGAATCGCTACCGGAGAGTCGCCTGGAAATCGGAGAATCGAGGAGAGATGAGGCGGCAGTGGAGCGATCCAGCCCTAATTTGCGTCCAAATAGAACAGAATTCATTTATTTGGGTTTTAATTTAGGGTTATGCTATGGTTTGTAATTAAAGAGGAGTCTAGAGAGAGAGAAAGAGAGAGACTGAAAAGGCAGTGTAGTGAAGAAATTCCGAAGGGCCCAATCTCATTTATGCTTGGGATCGTGTCAGAATTTTGTTGGTTAGGAATAGTTCGTCGTTGAGAGGACACTCATTCTTCATGTACTCGACTCTAGGTGATAATTTTTTTAAGGTCTTTTATTATTGAGGTAAACTATTTATACATTAATTAATTCTGATCTAAGTATTAATGAAAATAAGTTTTAGTAAATTATCGCTAAAAATAATTTTTTGTGAGATTTTTTAAATATATTGTTAAAAATTGACAATTATTGACTTTTTATTTGTTACGATTTTTATAAATTTCCTTTAAAATTTACAATTAGTGACGTTCTTTTGTGATAAATTTTTCAAATTGTCGTTGAAAGTTGAAAATTAATGAATTTTTTTTTAACAATTTTTTTAAACTGTCGTTAAAACTTATAATTTGTAACATTTTTTGTGATAAAATTTTTAAACTATCATTGAAAATTAATAATCAGTGACGTTTTTGTAATAATGTTTGATAAAAACGTTACTAATTCTCACGAGACTTATTGGACAATAACTCCACCTATTAGAATTTACACGTACGTCCCCTTTATTATTATTATTAACAAACGAGTATGTGACCCCCTGCGATACACATAAATTTATTTTTAAAATAGAAAATTAATTTTGAGTCTTAATATTTTATGTGTAGAAAATTTTAATAATTGAAAATTAAAATAATGCAAATAGATTTGTTAATGACTGACAAAACTGCGTGTAATCCTATGTAAAATAGGCTCATAAAAATAATTTCTTTCTAAAAAATGAGAGTATATTCTCAACTTGAAACCCAAATCCTCATTTATGTTAATAAGATTTACCAAAAATAATGAATTTCACTTGTATTAAAATATTTTTTTTCTAATAAAAAATAAAACTACGAAAAATTCTATTATATACAAATTATGACTTGGTTATAACTTATGGTGTATTATTTTGGTTATTAATTGAAAAGGTCTTTACTAATTTCTTATATTTTTTGTTATATCTAAAATTGTGTATTGGGTCTTTAATTATGCTTCAAGTAGTGTTTAATTATGATCTATTACAATATTTTTGTACGACAATATTTAAATATTTTATTATATGAAAAAAGTGCTTAAGGTTGATTGAATCAAAAGTAAGATTTAAAAAATTACAAATTCAAATAATAGACAGTGTCTTTAAAGGGAATTAGGTACAAAACCTCTATAACTTTAATAATTTTAGTTCTCGAAGGGGTTCTGATTAATTATGTGACATGTTATAATAGTCGCAAAATTTTTATTGCAGCTAAATTATCTTTGCATATATCTTCTAACAGAGCTCATTAAGGTACATTATCAGTAATATTATAAATTCAAAGTTTTTATTTAAAAATTATTCAATAATCATCAATAGGTGCTTTAAATATATACAATCATTTTCGATGAATCATTATTCTTTAAAATAATACTCCACATTATTTATCATTTGACATTTGTCAATTTTTCTTTTAAAAACTTAACAAAAAAGTATTGAATTTCATTATTTTAATCAATCAATATCAAATTGGACGGTACATGTATATGTAAATCACTTATAAAGTGTGACATAAAATTACAATAGATTTAATTTTAATTAATATAATAATATTTTATATTATGATATGTGTTACAAAAGAATAATATTAATTTTAATTTAATTTATTTATTTTAATAATTTTAGTCTTATCGTTCTATAAAAATGTTATTTGAATACTTATATATGATAAATTTAGTTAAATTATTAGTTTATTTTGATATTTCTAGTTCTATTATGCTATAAAAATATAATTATCATATAATGATTTTATATGATGTTATTAAATTATAAAATAGTAAAATAAAATCTCATTTTGATATTAAAAATAATAATTAAATTAGAAAAAGAATTAGTAATATAAAACTAAAAGTGATTTTAATTTTTTATTTTTATTGGATTAAGAAGAAAATATATAAATTAATTATGTAAAGTATTGATTTTTTCTTTAATATTTTTTTTTTGAATTATTCATACATATTGTATTGGATATATAAAATTTAAATTACATATAAATGTTTTGTAATAAATAATTTCATGTTAATAAAAAACTAAATATAAATTAATATCAAGGCATCAATATGATAGACAAAAAATAAAATATAAAAAATAATTTGATTCGTGTGATACACATAATTAAGCACATTATATCTTATTTATTTATTTATTTATTTGTATATCAAGATAATTTCATTTTCAAATATCATAATAATTAAATTAAAATATTAACCATATAAAGAAATCTGACAACAATAAAAATATGAGAAAATTAGTCTAAGGTCCCTCTGTCACTTTTAGTAATGTATAAGATCCACAATATTATTTGATGATGTCTAAGGTCCCTCAATTTGACACTTTCAAATCAAACATTTGTCATGACCCAAACCCGCCCCTAAGGGTTTAGCATCGTAACCAGCCAGTAATCCTTGAATTACCGAAAGCCTCTGAACAGAATAATATATATAACAGGGGCTACGGAAGAAAATATACCAAGTTACATAGTCCATAGAGCTGTGCAGACATATATGAGACAAAATATTTAAAACTTTTCATATACATGTTTGCATACGTACATATAAGGCATTAAAATACAGTAGCCTTACATCATCCAAGCCACATATACAAGATTACTACGTGTTCAAGCCAGACATAAACATTTCAGAAATATAAAAGTCCCATAGACAATAAACCCAGGTAGATCTCAAAAGGGAACCTCTACGGGAGGCGTGATTGCTGGCTGACACCAAACCTCACCAGGCGGCACCTCAGACCTGGTCACGTGCCTGCTCACGTACATACATATAAATAATACAGTGAGCTAGAGCACAGTGAATAATAACTAGGTAAAGAGTTTTAATGAATGATGTCTAGCACAGAGTTAGATTTCAGAGTTTATTACAACATATTCATGTCGGAAACAGAGTCATAAGCATATTTCAATTGTAAATCAGAGTTGAATTCGAATACACACTCATATTCATATTCAGACTTTCCATAGGATCATACGTGGTACACCCATTAGTCGTCATATCAACTTGGTCCTACAACCCGCATGTATAGTCGGTACCGACGACCACAAAGGTCTATATCTTGCGCAAGTAGCCATGGTATTGTTACCCCCAAGCAAGGGTCACGTGAATATAGGCATCGGTATTGTTACCCCGGGGCAAGGGTCACATGAATATAGGCCACAGTATTGTTACCCCTGGGCGAGGGCCAAGTGCAGATTGGCCACGGTATTGTTACCCCCGGGCGAGGGCCACATGAACTATGTGTGTCACAAATATAAATATAAATACATATCAGAAAAAAAAAAATGGACATTCATTCATAATTCTTAAATACCATTTCAGAAAACAGATCGTATCATATCAATCAGAAAATACTTGTAATTGAACATAACTTTACAGAGTTGTTATTCACAGTTGGCTTTAGGTGCAGATAAACAGAGCAGACTAATCAAATGGTTCGAGGCACGCGACCTACACGAACCTACATACAAATACACGCTTGAATCACACGCTCAAATTATGTATAACTTGCTTTATTTGTTCTGGGTATGTTTCTAGTCTTTAACCTCATTATAGTGTCTTAAATATAGCCTAGGAATGCCTAGGATGGAAAGAGGATGCCACAATGCACTTGAAAATATTTCTCAAATTTTTGCTGAAAATCGGGTCCACGCTTGAGCGTGGCTTTCTACGCTCGAGCGGACATGCAGAAAGTGAAGGTTCGCTCGATTGTGGATTTACTCACTCGAGCGGACTGCAAACTTGACAAAAGTACTGGATGTATGTTTTTCACGCTCGACGGACGCTCGATCCCCGCTTGAGCGTGAGACTCAGACCCTCACTCGAGCAGACTGTAAAACACATGAACTTCTGGGTACATGCATTTCACGCTCGAGCGTGACTCACGTCGCTCGAGCGGAAGTGCACGCACTCAGAGTGCTCGCTCGAGCGTGACATCCCCCACTCGAACATGGATCAAATTTTTGGAATTTCTAGATTTGATCCACAAGTTCAAATTCAACCTCTGAGACATCAAACTCAATTTTTCTGGGCCAAAACTTTAGAAAACTCATAGAGACTCATAAAACAACATGTTTCAAGGATCAATTCAAGAAACCATAGCTCAAAGGCTTGCTATTTGTGCAAAATTTCAACTTGAAACTCAAGAATAATAGATAAACATGTCTTGAATGCAATTCTTTGAACCAAAGCTTCTCAAAACATGATCAACTATGACAAAATGACATAGAACATGAAGGATTTCCAAAACAAAGCTAGGATCATGACATGCATGCAAAAATCCTTTAGAAAAACAACCTTAAATGCCATGAATTACATATACATGTATGTATTGAGCTTTAATTCTTCACTCTTAGCTTAATTGCACACCTAACTCTCTTGAATTCACGTACTTATTATTATAAACACAAAGTTTAAGAGTATAGTTCTTACCTAAGGTTGAATTCAAGTGTGATTCTACTAGGATCATGACATGCATGCAAGAATCCTTTGGAAAAACAACCTTAAATGCCATGAATTACATATGCATGTATGTATTGAGCTTTAATTCTTCAATCTTAGCTTAATTGCACACCTAACTCTCTTGAATTCACATACTTATTATCATAAACACAAAGTTTAAGAGTATAGTTCTCACCTAAGGTTGAATTCAAGTGTGATTCTAACCCAAGGCCTCAAACTGTCTTCAATTTCCTAGCCAAATCTTTGTTTGAGCTCAATTTCCCTCTACTCTCCCTTTCTCACGTTTGTGTGTGTGTAAGCTCAAAAGTGTGTGAGTTGAATGCAAGGAAATGAGTTAGTGGGGCCAAAAAGGCTCACTAAGTGATAGGTAAACAAAACTAATCAAATGGCATAAATTTAATCTAATTTAATCATTCCAAATCAGATTTCAATTAAACTTATCATA